AGCAACTCCCTGAGTCTGTGGAGCATTTTCCTTTTCGTGATCAGAGTAAAGCAGCATCTCTCCCGTATTTAGCCTTTGTTGTCCAACCTGCGTCCAATGTGCTTCACTGATTCCAAGTACCTCTAGATTGTGTCTTTTCATTTCTGCAGCAACTTGGATGAGTCTCCCAGTCTCCCACATTGTACGAGCATTCCATGTACCTAAATTAATGGTCGCTCTGGTTGTCAGAAGGGGCATCATCCCAATGACTTTCGAAGGAACTCGGCTTTCACCATGAAGCGTGATAGTTCTTCTAAATGAAGACCTTCTAACTCCCAGGGCAGGGTTTAAATGGTTTGAATTATTTTTTCTGGTTAGCGTTTCTTAGCGAGTTAGTTTTCTACGGGATGGAGTCACTAACTCCATGCCCAACTCTCCTCCCTTACCCGGGCTTGGGACCGGCAGTAACTCTAGAAGTGCTACAGGCGGAGTTTTTAATTAATATTGTTTCGTTTATATTCGATTGGGATAAGTGATTTCAATAATTCTTCTTATTTTGATTCCCTCTCATATTCGGACCAGATAGTTTTCAGTTTGGTCATGTGTTAATAAGTATCGGTAGATTTTTTTATTTCTCTGTTTTATTGATTTATCGATGGTACCATTTGTATTTGCACCTTTTGATTTCTGATAAAGCAGGCAAATATACTTATTTTCCTATAAGATGGTGGTTGAGGGTAGTTGACAGGAAACCTTGGACCTATGCTTCGTGCTACTTGGCACTCGTCAGCAAGGTGTACCTATAATCTTGAGGGAACTGATACTCTCTGATGGATTCGATCCCGTGTCACCCAGTCACATTGCCACATCGAAACTTGGTAGATAGTATTCGATCTGCATTGAGAAGAACCTGACATACATGACATCGATCACCACCCAGTAATCAGTCAATTGTAAATACCTATTTTCCTATATTACTTGATTAATAATTCCTTAAATATTTTACGCTTAACTAAGTGATAATGATTTTTCAAGTAATCGAAATAAATGAAAAATCATAGTGAGTTTCAAAAAGACACAATTAATTATTGATTAACAAGTGTTTATGTAAAAGGAAATCATTAGAGAATTAATTCGCAAGACCATTTGCAAAATCAACTTTAAAATGTATATGTTAATGCTAATAGTAGTCATCCAGATAGCGTTTAAATACTTCCTCAGGCACATAATGTATGTTCAAAGTAAAACATCAGTAAGTTAACTAGTTACAATGTTGTGTATGTGTAGGTACCAAAAACGAATAATAAATAAATAAGTAAATAATTACAGTACATAACTACCAACTGGATAATTTTGAAGGGATTACATTCTTACCAGTCAAACATTGACAACAGATAGGATGTGGGGATTTAAGTCATTGTAGGTAACTGATTTTTTAGCTGATCGAATGTACCTCAAGGAAGTTCCAGACTCCTACTTGAAGCCTATCAGGATTTCATCAAAAGACGTTTCACAGACTCGATGTAAACAGACTAAATTAAATAGGCAAAGATATTACTGAGTGTGGAATTATAATGAAAGTAATTAAATTGACTGAATAATACAACTCAGTTACAAATCACAGATTCATATATTCGATTAAAGTTTTTGTATGATTGCTAACGACAGCTCAGACCTACAGTTTAATGTTTGAAAGTTGAGTTATTTAATGGATTAGCTTTCTCATCATGACTATTATGTGTATTTCGTTTTAGACTGTTTGTTTAGGTAATACATTTTTCACATTTATTACTGGAATGAAAGGCATCAGCCGGAAACCTTTAATCTTTAGGTGGACATTCTGTTGATATGTGAACGGTGTATGTATGATCATTTCCGGTGCCACAATGGATTGATTATAATAATCTACAACTAGAAAAAATCAAACGGAACTAGAGAGCACGGAACAACAAAAGCAGTAATTACTACGATCATCTTGTTTACGACGGAATCCCCCACCTTTTAATAATTGTCCTATCATCACAACTTACCCTTCTCGTACATATTTAGCTCCGCGCGCCATCACTGCTAATAATTTGAGCTCACAAAGTGTTATTCCTGTTCTCCTGGAAACAGATTATAGATTACATGTTAGAGCGTTTACTTCCCGTGACCTCTCTAGTGTAGGTATAACATTAAGTTTTAAGGCGAAACAGACTCTCCGAGACTGGATCCCAATACACAATCGCTTGTTCATCGTTCAGCTAAACAGGACGGTACAAACTCAGAAATATGGGAACGTATGCTGTTGCTTTTTCTTCGTCTCTGTTTGCTCACCCAATGACTGCAGCTCGGACGAAGTTATTGATGGATTTTATAGCAAACTATTCAAAGTTCGTCAAAATGCTAAGTGCTCTGATATAGTCAATAGTGGTGGGTGGTTTCAATGCTCAAGCAGATAGAATAAGCCAAACCAGAAGGTACTTATACGGATCTTATGGTGTCGCGACTCAGCAAACAGATAATAGTGATCGTCTGGGGCAACTATGCTGTGATAAGTCTATTTTTGCAAACAACAAATTTAAACATTAGGAGAAACGTCATTTGACGTAACGACCTCCGCAATTGACTCATCGATGGACTTAAACAGATTTCATTTCTCCATTGAGGAATATCGCTCATTCTGGAGCACATGTTTAGACTCAGATAATGCTCTAGTTCGAGCACGTATTTGTAGGAGTCAGATTGAATGTAGAAAAGCCATAGCAAGAAAGTCTCTTAAAGTTCAAGAATATATTTCAGGAACAATCAAGAGAGTTGGTTAAACACAAAAATGATATCCACCCTGAATTGGCTTGGTATGATATCCAAATGGCCTGGGGAAACAGCAGTGATATTTACTAGCAACTTAAACCAAAATGTTTGGAAATTAGTGGATTTGAGTGACATCCACAGAACTGGTAGATGCTCGGAAACTCATCTCGTTTGGCTCAGAATATGATAAAGAGTGGAGAACGCTAAAATGAGCCTTATAAGAAAGCCCACATAATGATCGTAAGCAGTATCAGGTCGCGAAAACAGAAGAGATGGAAAAGGCTGCAACGAGATGTAACAATAGAAAGCTGTTCAGACTTATCAAGAAAACAAGTATTAAAAATACAACTGTCAGTGGAACTATTTTGGAAAGAACAGGACCATTATTCATTCTCAACCCAGGAGGTTAAACCAACCACCTTAGTGAACAGTTCAAGTGAACTTCAGCCACGTTTCAGTTACTTAACATCTCCAGGCAGCCTGAATATCGAGTTGATGTGAGTTGTTTAACCCTTAGTGAGGTTGAAAATGCTATAAACAATCTAAGGCGAGAGAGAGAAACAGGGCCTGATGAATTAATCCCTGGAGACTTTAAGAATCCAGATCCAGCATTAGCAGTTAAATTAACTGAAGGTTTAGCTAAAATCTGGGATAACAATCAATATACCAATGCCAAGGTTTGGCTGGATTGTTCCAAATAAATTGAGCATTGGGTCGTACGTTATTAATAAATACATTAACTCTAAAGAATTGACTTACATGAAGCCATAAAACGTTAGAAATACGATTTTTCTACATCCCTGCTGTCCACTGTATCCCATGCTTACCCCAGGTGTTGACGTTTTCGTAATCCAGTCGATCACCAGGTGAAAGTGAAGTGGTGGGAGTAAGCAACCTTGCCTGACACCGGTCTGTACTCGCTAAACAATGCTAACCAGAAAACAATAATTCAATCCATTTAAGCTCTGCCCTGAGAGTTAGGTCTTCATTTGAATGAAGTACTTTTAAAATATGTTTGGGCTCATATCGGTATAATCCCAAAGTATTAATAAGGAACTCAAACCCGCGTTAAGTATTTGACTATTTATTTACTAGACTAATGAATAACTTTCTTACATTAAAGTAATGTCTTTCATAAATTTAAGGAAAAACGCTTTAAAATGTATTGCAAGTCTCATTTTCATGGTTCAAAGTAGATCGTAATGCTTGTGAGCACATCTATTCTAGTTTCTCAAGGATTTTGTTCAAATCAAATCAAATCAAAAAACTTCATGATATTCTAAGCTGATGCGCCATTTCACAGTATTATAATATTTTAATAGTTGAAATCATGAGTCAATTAAAGCTAGACTACAATGAAAAACTTGGAAGCACTGGACGGCTTTTTCGTCTCAGTATGGAACTCCTCAGCAGCGCGCATCCACGATCCCATCCCCTGCAAGATTCGAACCCAGGATCTATCGGTCTCGCGTGCAAGCGCTTAACCACTGTACCACTGAGCTGGCCGGAATTCAAAGGTGTTAATGTCTAACTTTAACCAATCCACGAAATTGCGCCACCGTCCACCATTGTCTTCAGTGAATTACTATCTCACAACAGACCTAGTTGAACTCCACTGGTCGCTACTTCTCACCAGAACTCCAGGAAATACAACTGACTCATGATTTCAACTATTAAAATTACTATGATATCCACAAAAGCCTCTTCTGATATTATAGGATTTGTTGATTATAAATTAACCAAACGATAGTACATATGTGGAATGGGACTTAAAAAATATTATTTGGTTTCTCACAAATGTTTCTCATTCGATACTCAGTTGCTGAATAATTTCGCTATTTTTGTTACCTTTACATTATTCTATAATTTTAAACCTAAAAAAGTATACTTACATTCATTTAAGAATTAATGATTTCATCTAATCAGGTTTATAACTCAAGGTACTGAATAAGTTTTCAAGGTTTCTATGGGACCACTTAAAATATAATTCCCTTTTTTCAGATAAAACTATTTACTATCTATCTCTTATTGATTCTGCTTAATTTTTATGAATAAAAAATAGATGTATTATTACTCTATATGCAAAATGGTTTCCATACGTTTCACATTTCTACTTAATCATTGCCCACTAATGTAACTCTACTGAAGAGATAACCAATCGCAAATGAGATTGATGTTAACGTTAATTTTAAATTGTGATTTGATTCACTGAAATATTTACAAACACTGTTTATTTTGACTATATAAATTAGAATTCTATTAGTGTATTGACTGGAATTCTGTCTGATAAATTGATTATCGAAAGTAAATGTCAAAGCAAGAAAGTAATCTATGTATAGACGATAAGTCAGCTACAAAAACTACGGAACCGTCTCATAAAAAATCACTTAGTTGTTGTGGAGAGTATGGGCGTACTGTAGCTCATAGCCTATTTCGAAAGAAACATTTCAAAGATATATTTCATAATGATCTTAAAAAAACTTTAACAACCATAAGTTTGATTCTTTATGGCTTAGGTAAGTTTTTAGTAAACATTTTGAAGTTTTGTTTACTTATATATTTCAAAATATTGATTGCGTTAAGACGTCATATTACTTTGATGAAGTCAGCCGTTTGATATTCCTTAGCAATACGTCATTTTTGTTTATAACAGAAACAGTGTACTGATTCGCTTTTTCAATTTCATGCTTTTGTATGTCTTAAATTTTCAAGAGACTTTACGTATGCTTCTCAATTGAAAAAGTGAAAATCTTTCCTACAGTGAAAATGTGTTTGAACGCTTTAATTCTGTAACAGAGATAAACAGACAAAGATTACTGCTTGAATTTAATTCTCATCGACATCTGCTGTTACAAATTTAACTTATTTATTCCTAACATCTGCCGAGTTTGCCAGAAACTCATTTTATGCATAACATAGAACTACAAAATTATTCTTTGAGAGGTTGTAAATGTTATGATGATTTATCTGTATGTCTTTATCATAAACGATGACAACTAATCATATTCGGTGCCCAAACACGAAGTATAAGGTGAAGAAGAAATTGTCTTAATAACATAAACAAGCATGATAATAAGTATTAAGTAAACGGTTATGTAACACAGAAAATGACAGAAGTTCAATGAGAGATTATAGTAATTTTATTGGTGGTCAATTACATAATTTTTATTTATTGGAAGGGGAAATTACAAAATTGTGATGACAAAGTAGATCGTTTGAATAACTTTGGTACAAAACAAAAAATAATTGTAGTTGAGAGAAAGCTTAATTTTTGATTCACTAGTACCTACTGGCGGAATTAGCTTTTAAAATGAACTATTTTCCAGTGGAAACTTACAAAACTATTAGTTATTAGTTTATTTTCCAAATGAGAGTAGGTACTTTTTCCAAGTCTTAGAATTATCGAAGCTAGAGATAAGATAATTGCTTTGTTTTCAGAGATTATCATACACTAGTTCCATTGGTCTCAATACGTGGGAAACGCTTAATTTCTGAGAGTCAATAGCGTCTGAAAAAAGGTTATTGAAATACTATTTCAGTAATAAATGTAGCTAATCTTTACTGGGTGATTATAAAATCATTAGAAAGTTCGATAGACAGGATTCCATTACACTTTTACAGAAGATGCTTGTTAGTTCTGTGTATTGGTGAAATGATTTTCGAATAGAATAAGAAAATATTGGTAGATACATATGTCTTGGCTTTCAACCTTGAATAAAGTGTGAGACTTAAGAACCGTTACGTCTATTGTTTGATTGCTTAGGGAATACAAGTTAACCCTATGAATGGTAGTTTTCGATTATTTCGTGAATAACTAAGGAAACGTATTGTACGAAGTAACTGTTACTCATACAGCTTGACCCATGGTCGGATGAAAACACACAAATGATAACTTGTTTCCGTTAAAGTGGGTTAACAACTTTTGAAGATGGCAATTTGTTTGCATCTGTGCAGCCAGTCGGTGGGCCTTATAAGACCTGGTTATTAAGGGTCCATTTTTTGGTAGATCATAATGAACAAAATATCTATGAAGAGCTTGTGAGCCAGGTAATAAACTGTTGTTTGCTACTTTACAACTCTGAATCATGGTAACTTTATCATAAACTTATATGTAATACCCCAACTTAAGAGCAAGAATAAGAGATTGTTCTTAAAGAGAGCAAGAACGAAGATTGGTGCAAAGTAATATGAACTTGTTTTATTTCGTTAGGTTCTCATCAGCTGCTTACAACTTATACATAAGAGGGTGATGAAAGATGAATATACGTATCATGATGTAGCGAAGATTTCAAGAGTTAATAACGTTAAGATAATAACGGGAACTATGTGTAAGAGATTTTTCACTTAGCTAGATCTGGCGTTTGTGACTTAAGAATGAAAACCACATTTTTGAAGTAATTTTAGGGTTATTTTGTTAACTTTCATCTTAACTGGTTGTTAATATCATGGTTTAGACTTTTAAAATACCACAAAATTTACAAGTGTCTAGAAGACGGTGAATGAGCTGGAACAATTGATTTTAATAAGTGATTTCCAACAGATTTATATCTTCATTAACAACTTAACACAATGTCAGTAATATGATCTGTTAAAGATTTAGTATCACTTAAGCTACTGTGTGTTGGAACATACAACGATCGTAGTTTTTTTCATTTAAAGAATTTGAATGATTTAGAGGACAACTAGAGTGCTGAAGACATTAGGATTTGAATTTCGTTTCAAAAATAATCATGTAACTGGGTTTTCGCAGTATAGTCAGATCAAAACAAGTTTACGTAGATCTATTAACTTTTCCTATCCAAACCAGATATAAGAATTATCGTTTCGTTTTCATTTTAAATATTTTGTATTTCAAAGAACACATAGGCACTTTTTGTTATTGCTATGTTCAAAATTAGTCTCAGTTTATATGGTAGTTAATCAATAATTCTGGAGATAAACATGTTTTGCCGAAGAATTAGCAGAAAATTAATTAGTGTTTTGAATTGTTAATTTTGTAGATTTCTCTTATGATCGAATATTATCTACAAAATCCAGTGCTTGATTTGATTAATAATTGGTTTTACAATTAAAATAATTGATAACTATTAAGAAATAACACTTAGCATTATAAACAAAGATGGATAGTGGCTAGCAGTGGAATCCAGGACGCGCGTTTCGCCCTGTCTGGGAATCGTCAGCTGGGTGTACCTGCATCTTCTAGTTGATGTTCACTCTGGGACTCTAACTCGGTACCGTCTGCTTCAAATGTCATCGCCTTATCCACTTAGCTACCAAGTCCTGATAGCCACTTGCTTGTGAAATGGCGTGAAGTTTAAATTCACTTAGCATTCTCATATCCTTTCATTTTGTTAAAGTATTTTAATGAAAGACGGCAAAAAAACAGTAGTGTTATAATATAGAGCTTTGTACAGAAATAATAATTTCGACTGAATATCTGTCATGTAACCCTCAAAGTTCCCAAAGTTCATGAATTAAGAAACTGTATTTATAGGGGAAAAGCTATGTTACTTAATTATCTTAATGTTATCTAATCCTTAGTGTTAACAAAATTTTATTCATTAATTATGTGAAGCATTCAATAAACTTTTCACATCATTTGAATTGCTCATTGACAACATCACTAATTGTGAGCACTAGACAACTGAGATCCCAGCGTGTGAATAGAAATCGGTTTCACGTAGATTTCATGTACATCTTACTCACATGTGTCAACAAGTACAACCTCTATTAATAGTTTTCTGTTATTTGCTTTCAGATATCTGGTAAAAAAATCTATTAGCCATAGAAAACATAGTGGCACAAGTTCCACTGTCTCACTGTCTAGATAATTAGGAGTGCTAGTAAGTTCAAACAAATTTGAAACAAACTAACTAGTATTGGGTGATTACTTAGATGATTTCATTGGAGTCTTTTCCTAGATATATGTGAATAGAGCAAGAAGTAAACTTGTATGATAGTTGCTTGTAGCCTTATTCGAAGTGACAAAAAGTACTGGCTGTATCAAGAGAAAGCATAATGTAAGAAAACCAAATTATTGACAGAATTGTGGTAAAAAAACCTTTGATTCATTAGTTAATACAGTTTTGAAAATGAATTTAACACCAAACTTTAATATTCTCTTGTCTTTTTTTCGTTATCTAAAAGAGTAATAATCTAAACTGTCCAGTAACATTACTTTTGCTATCTATGAGGAACCTCGAGTCTAGTATTATTTGTCTTTCAGGTTGATTAGGAAAAATATTGATTTGTAGTACAACGCATAACTAACTTTCATAACCTGCAATTTTAAGACATGACAATAGAAACTATGTTCCTTCTAATGATTAACTTACTGGTTTACTTACGCCTTTTACCCCTCGTGGAGGAGCATGTGCCTCCTACTAGAATTCTCTAGCCAACTCTGGCCTGGGAAGTCCTTTTAATTGCTGTCCATCATTTCCATATCTGCTTCCAATTCTCGACGCATTATGCTCTTTGGTCCTCCTTTTTCCGTTTCTCCTCAGGATTTCAACTTAGCGCTTTCCTAGTGATGCGAATTAGTGATCTCCTCAATATATGTCTTGTCCACTTCTAACGTCTTTTCTTAATTTCCTCCTCAGCTCAAACCTGGTTTGTTCTCTGCCACAGTACACTGTTGTTGATGATGACCAATCAACAGACATAGAGTATCTTACGTAGAAAACTGTTTACAAATACTTGTACTTTTATGACGGTGGTTTTAGTAGTTCTGAAAGTTCCAGCTGCATACAGTAGAACTACCTTGACGTTCTTATTGAAGATTGTGACTTTGATATTGGTTGAGAGAAAGTTGTTTTGAGTTGCGAATGTTGTTCAACTATAGGGATGCTGTCCTTACTTTGCCAATCCTTGTCTCTACGTGTGCATCAGATCCTCCACGTTCATCGATGATAGTGTCCAGACAGGCACATGAATGTTTACAAATATTGTAGAGCTTCTCCATCAAGTGTGATTGTATTGTTGTTCTCCATGTTGTGTTTGAGTATGTTTCTTCCGCCCTTGTTTCAGAGGTTGCTGCTGCTACTACACTACTTGCTTTGACCTGCATTCGTTTGTGTGTATGGGATGGAAAGTGCTAGGTGATCTGTGAAGTTCAAATTGTCTAGTTGCATGCCAGTTGTCCATTGTATTACGTGCTTCCCATCAGATGTGGAGGTCTTCCTAAGTCAATCGACCACCAGAAGTAATAGAAATGCTAGAGGGAAAGGGTAAGTAGCATTGTCTGATGCCAATCTTCACTCCGGTCTTTACTTAGAATATGCATGTCAGCTGTCCTCCATGCACCACTTTGCAGTGTAGTTCGTCGTATGAATTCCAGATGATGTTGATGATCTTTCTAAGTACTCACTCCATAGTCTCGAAGTTTCCATGCGGTTTTTTTGTTCACATTGTCAAACACTTTCTTATAGTCAAGGGAACTGGTGAATAGTGACGAGTTCCATTCAGTTGATTGTTTATCGATGATACGTGGTGTCACGATTTGGTCTATGCAAGACCAATCCTTACGGAATCCGCTCAGTTGATCTAGAAGTTGGGAGTTTGTTCAGTCTTTCATCCGATTCAGCAACACTGTTGAAAACGTTTCCTGGTACTGACAGCAGTGTGATACTTATGTAGTTAGTTGCCTTACTTGCTCATATTTTCTTCCTTTGGTATCCTGATAAAACGTCCTTGTTCCCAGTCTGTCGTCAGCACTTGTTCTTCATCTCAAATCTTCTTGAATAGAACATGGAGCATGTTTGGTGTTGCTTCTATGTGTGATGTTATTGCCTCAGGTGGTATATTATGAGATCTTTATGCTTTACAACTCTTGATTTGTTTGATGACCGGCCATCCTGATTTCTTCAATCGTTAAAGGAGTGAGATATATAGGAAGATTTGTTTGTGGTGTTTCGATGTCCGGCAGGTCCAGTGGGGCTAGTGTATTCTCCTGATGATTAAGTAAGAAAACAACTTCTGAAATTCAAATGAACGACAGTGATTAGTAGAGTTCTGTCATATAGATAGTAAAATGGGTGATAGTTGATTATTCAGTATCCAGAATTGATTATAGTTTGAAAAGCAACCTAGTGAATATCATCTTATTGGCCTAACTATAATACTCTAGACACAAATATTAGAGTTTGTTTGAATTTATTCACTGTGTATGTACATTACCCAGGATACCCGTGATAGGACTAAACAACACTTCGGTGTTTTCTAGTTTTCAGTCTATGATGTAAACTGCATTAAAAGTGAATAATCTCCACAAACTGCCTAAGCTCAAAGTATATCTTTATCAAATAGTCTGATAGATGTTATGTCGTTACTTACAATAAAGTGTTTTGATTTATTATTCTTATTGTGTATTTAATTATTATAAAATTGAAAAGCAAATATGCAATTTGTACTTGAGTAATTCTATAGTCATTTTAGTCGTTACAATAATAACATAATTTGCATTGATTTCAGAATACATTTTTTTCAAAAGTATGAATCATGTGTATCGTTTAGCTTATATACTAAAAGTAGCACAGACTAGAAATAAGTAAATAAGATGTGTTGTCAATATACGTTTGCTTGTGTTAAGAACTCATTTATATTTTCAAGTAATAAAAATATTTTAAGATTACATGATGTAACTATTCATCATATATATAGTGTGTGTGTGAATAAAAAACATGGGTAGATCATTTAGTGCATTTAAAACAATTTTCATTTATTATGATAGACAGCAATTTATCGACTTGTGTTTAATAAACATCTATTTTCATCTTCAAAATTGAAACTGGTTTACCGTGTTCAATTTAGTAAAGTGAATATATTCGTTGTATAAATAGTATCTAGGTTACTTTTTAATAGTTTAATGAATTGATCATTTGAATAAGAAATGATGTAATATGTTGGTAACAGGCATACAATGGTACATAGAACAAATACCTAAAATAATTTAATTAGACTTTCCTGTTGAAATGACTTGTATGTAACAATCGTTTGGTTATATAAAAGCAGACAATAAACTGGTGATTTGTTGCTTCAATTTTCAATATTTTCAAAAAATATTACTAAAATGAAGGAATAGAGTACGGAAACGTATATGAAAAGAAGAGGATCCAAAAATAAACTATGAATAGTCATTAAAATAATTGGCCATTTGAACTAGATTAAAACTTGAAACATGAACGATTGCAACAGTCTGTATGACTATTTATTTATTGTGTTTATTCATTTATTCGTTGCACAAGCTAGTGGCTATCAGGACTCAGTAGCTAAATGGATAACACGATGACGTTTGAGTGGTACTGGGTTCGAGTCCTAGAGTGAACATCGACCCTTGGATGCAGGTACATACAGTTGACGAGTCTGAAATAGAACGAAACACATACCCTGGATTCCACTGCTGGCCACTATCCATATCTGCTTATAATGACTATTTATTGTTTAGGTTTTTAATTTTATTTGTCTTGTAAGATGTTATAAACTATCCTAACTTTCTTGCTTTAAAATTATTAAGCAAGGGATTCATTGAGAATGATGTATTTCACAATGTAAAATTAATGTAATCTGATAACTTTTATTGCGTTTTTGATTGAGATCATGAACCGATTGATGTTAGACCACCACCTTTGGAAACCTGGAAGCACTGCACGGCCGTTTCGTCCTATTGTGGGACTCCTCAGCAGTGCGCATCCACGATCCCGCTCTCGGGATTCCAACCCAGGGCCTTCGGTCTGGCGCGCGAACGCTTAACCAACTGGACCACTGAGCCGGCATCCAATGGTGATAGTGTCTAACATCAACCAATCCACGAAACTTAAGTCATTGGTTTAATACTAGTCTAGAGTTGTGTTTTATCCATACCAAGGAACACTTGATGAGAACTGATAATTTTGTATAATAAGCTTTATCTTGATTAAATAAAGGTCATGTAGATGGTTTGTCGATTCGAAGAATACTAAAACAAGAGACATGAGTTAAATATATCAGTACATAGTATGAATAGACAATATGACAGTCACATATATAAGTAATTTCAAGTCACCTTAAATTATTATGATATTCACTGATATTATAAATTTCAGCATGTATGCTGGATGGAGGCATTTATGTGTCGACTGGTGCTGTAATAAATGCACAAACTGGACCGAGTGCTTTTCTTGCTTATATTATAGCTACTTTTGTAGCAATATTAAATTCTCTGATATATTCAGAATTAGCATGTCATGTTCCAAAAGTAAGTAATTGTTTTTTTACCAGTTCTTGATTAAATTAATTGAAAATTATAAAAAAATTCTTTGTCCCATTAATTTCACATTTAATGTTGTATGAATGTCTGATTTGTTATGGAATTGTGTATGAATTGTTAGAATTCGGTAATAAGGATATTGGATCGATTAGTCTATGTCAATCTTTGAAGTAGGCACCTCTGCTTAGACTCATTTTCTATTAGTAAAGATAATCGATGAAATTATTATTATTTGTGTTAAGTATAAACAAACTATTTTACTTTATAAATAACTACCAGAAACCATTGGCGTAATTTTCTTTTATTGCTATTGTTAAGAGATCTTCCAAAGAAAACGGAGTTTTCTTCAGTAAATGAACTTATACAAATAAGAATGACATGAAATTTTTAAAATTACAAATTTTCGGTTAGCCACTCTCTGATATTTTAATGTGGGACTCCCGAATGGTTAAAATTCATTTTTTGATGGGAATGCCAAAATGTGTCTTTTAGTGATTGGATTAACGAGATAGAATTTATTATTTAAACGCGTGTATTTTTAAAAGTAAAAAGTCCTATTAATATACATTTACTGGTTTTAATTCTTTTTAGGATGTTGCATGTTACGGACATGCACACAGCATTCTTGGTGAACTCCCAGCATTCATAACTGCATGGTCAACGTTTATTGATTACATACTAAGTGCATCACTAGTTGCACGTAGTTGGAGCAACATAATCGACACTTTTTCAGGAAACAGGATCAGTTCGTGGATAATAATTACATTTGGAAGGTAAGTAAACTATCTTAGAGTTAGAAACTGAGTGATATGGGATTGATTTCTTCAGTGAACACCAGTAGCCTAAAGAATACAGGTACACCTTGCTGACGAGTGATTAGCAACACGAAACTAAGGTCTAGGGTCTGTTATCAACTACTTCTAACCACATTACAACGAAATATAGTTCACGCGATGTCAAGTCACTTAGATTGGTCTCCATATTATAACTTGGTAGGCAGAGTTCAAATAGCACTTAATGGACTATACAAGCCTGACATTGATCATGATTCCGTAAGCCGTCAATGTACAAGCGAATATGTATGTCAGTCATTTTGTTTGTTGAGATCTGCTTCATAAGGTTGGTACCATTCAGTTATTCCAAGATATTAGTCTACTTGAATATACTATTTAATAAATTCATTGAAATAATTAATTTATTTATCATGTAAAGTTGTGTTACTTCCTCACTTCTTAATCTAAGGAGAGTAAACCTAACCAATCGAAATCCTTTTACAGTGAGCCTTTGGTTATTTCAATAGTATAGATATATTTAGCGATCAACCAAACTATCTTGGACATTCATATTAAAAGGAATATTTTTATTTTATTACTTATTTATCCTGTCTTTTTATGACAATGATATATTCACCTTAAAAGTTTAATTACTTTACAGAGTGTAACTTGAGACGAAAAAATTTGTAGGCTTAGTTTAAAATCGTTGAAAATTTACTCATCTAAAAATGTACTTACAAAGGTGGTAAAATAGTGTGGTTTGTTTTATTCAGTTGCACTATATTCTCATGGTTTTTGTAAGTCATTTATAGTCAGTATATAATACTATTTAATAAAAAAAGCTATAATTCAGAACAAGTCAATGGTTTCAATATTAATATTAATTAATTTCTTGCTGTTTGCTTCAGTGTTATTCTATAATTACAGATCAGAATTTTAACATTTCTAGTACCATGAAATACCTTTTTTACGTATAAAACGCGTTCCCTAAGCTTTGTGACATTAGTGTATAGTTTGAAGTATTCCTATAAATCATCCATTTTCGCTGTTAATTTTAAATGAAGTCAGTAGTGATTGGTAGATTGTGTCCGATTTTATAATATATAGTAACTCTATTCAAAGCAGTGTGTTATGAGTTACTCCTAGTACTTCAGTTACTTCTGATTTTTAGCTATGGGTTCATGGTTCACTGTAAAGGAAAATAATGTCATGAATCTGGATTTGATCATTTTTAGGGAAGTTTGAGAACTGTTAGATTATTGAATACAACACAGATCAAATAATAATATGCAATGATACAATGTGGTTGGTGATAACTCCTGATAAAACTGGATTTTTGATGTAGACCCCTAGTCGAACAGATTTTGTCAATAAATCAGATCGAAAACTTGCATTGTAATCACGAATAAAAATAAGGAGGTTAACAATCAACGTAATTACATACTTGTGCATTATTTTAGCAGAATCTCATTATCGTTTTGGTGTTAGTTTCATCATAGAAAATTCCTGACTCAACAAAGATGTATGTGTCACTTTATAATAACTGATAGTAACTAACGAGATGATCTGTCTTTAATCAAACAAATTCAGTCCACTTACGAGTGATACTATTGTAAGTAATATTCGGTTGATTGATGATCTACCTTTTCAGTGTACACTGAAGTCTCCTACAGTAGTAGTAAAAACTAGGTAACTTTTAATGCATGAAAGTTGGAAATCTTGTAAGAACAGTTAGTAAAAAATTGATGTCATGAAAGGATAAAATGGACAGCGGCTAATGCACCCAATAACTATTGATACACTTTTAAGAACACGTAGTTCTTTCTCGTGGAGTTGTGGCACAAATATGACAGGTTGCGAAATATCTCCAATGATTTTATTGACATTCTTAAAGTGACATACATAAGTTGATATCAAAAGACATTATGTGGATATACAATTTATGTATTAACTAGCTATCCTAGTAAACAGACAGAAGTAAGTAAAATATTAAATATTATTTAGGCGTTCTATATTATCCTATTCCATAACATTATACTACCACAACAAGAAAACCGATTACATTTGTGACGTGTCGAATAATCTCAAAAACGTTTATCTGAAGAGTAATGAGGTAAAAAAAATTCAGAAAACAGTTTAATTCCTTTGTTTCTTCAATACAGGGGAAATATGAGTAAATTTTATAGGAAATTGTGGCTTAATCTCACATTTTAGTTCGAAAACGTGATGTATTTCATTAGCTTTATTGATAATACTTCTACACTTGAAGAGATGGGTGTCTAACCTAAGCTCTACTAGTAATACCAACACTGATTTAGACACTTTTAAGTAATGGTTATTAAAAGAAACGATATAAACTTCATCTAATAAGTTCTTATGCATGTCTAGTGTAGAGAATTTATTAAAAAACCTGAGCATGAATAAACTGTTTTACTGAAGGACATATTTCGAGACGTCAGGCTATAGTAAAGTTTAAAGAAAATTAATAATCCGAAAGTTTTTCAATCGTAGGTAAAATCACATTTACTCAGTGTTGAAGGAATACCAAGTAAATCTGTTGTTAGTCATAAGTCTCTTTAAACAAACGACCAACATTAAAATAAAATAAGCAAACTAATCGATATAGGCTATAGTTAAAACAAAATCTGAGTATCTGCTCTATATCAGCTGATTCGAATTGATTAGCCTGTTTAAAACCCACTATACGATCAATTCTTACTGATTTAGAGACGTAATTAACATAATTACTCATTGATGAATTACTGTCGTTTATTTAGATCGTTATAATATTTTGTTTCATAACAATACCGCAATATGAATTAATGAAGAAAATTTTCAGTCTAAGCGACTGGTTTTGTAACATAGCCTTTCTCAAGCTGGATGACTTAGACGTGAAGGTTTATTATAATTTAAAACATGTCCAATTACAATTTCAGAAAGATTTGAGTTATTTGATTTGTCTATGTTAGGTAGTCGGAAAAATAGACCAATAATTATCATGTTAAGTCCAATGGTGTCCTTGGACCTTAAATGTACATTTCTTATTGGTCGATGTTTACTTCACTTGTTAAATATTGTACAAATGTTGTTTCCTATTTTATGGTACGATGTGGTTTGTTTGCTTGGTATATAAATAGAGTATGTTTGAAATACAATGATTCATAACTCCGAGGCTGTGACTTGTGTTCTTGACTCAACTGGCTAGGACAGACAGCGAAGCAGGGCCAATTAGGGCACTTGGTCATCCTTACGTGTTTACGTGTCCACTGTCACCGAATCGATCGATAAATACGCTGCGTATCAAACCCTGCAGTCACTCCCGTTACAACAGTCTGCAAGTGTAAAACCATTTGATTCAATGACCCTGAGTGGCACTGAGTGTTCTCGAAATTTTGGGCTAATCCAACGCATTTGATACTTCCTTAGAAATCAGTTAATTGTTTCCTTATCTTACTAGTGGACTTTAAGAAACACTCTGACTTTCCCGTCAATTTTTCTTATCCAATGTTGTTTTATTACTTAACTACGAGTTTAAAAAACGTTCATCAGTACTTTGTATTATTAAGTGAGAATGAATTCAAGGTGTAGAAGAATTAGTAGCATATTCGGGAGAAGTGAAATATTATAATATAGACTATATATAGTTTCACATAGGCAAATCCATACCATGTCAAGCATCTGATCACCAATAATCCTCACAAGGTTGATTCTTTTATTGACATCTATCGGTTTAGTGGAAAAAAGCCACTCGTTTTTACTAAATTTGTAATACAAACTACACATAATAATCATATCTCTAAGAAATTTTAATTTCAGTATATATGGCTAAATTGTCTTTTTGTTTTTCATTTCAAAAAATTACTTTTATAGATTATCATCTCCAGATGGATTGTTGTCAGAATATCCTGATTTCCTCAGTACGATAGTGATTCTTATTTTTGGCATTTGTTGTTGTTTTGGACTACGTAAAAATTTAGCTTTGACCGTGATCTCAAGTGCCGTTAACGTTGGAGCATTATTGATAGCTACTATCTATATGTTTATTCATGCTAAAACAAACCATTATTCCATAATATATCCTGGGATTACAACAAATATTAAATATTTTCTACCTTATGGGATTCTCGGTTTATTAAGTGCAACAACAATTAGTTTCAACGCCTTCGTTAGATCCAGTGCACCATCATCACGTGCACAAGAAGTTAAACGTCCTCCTTATAGCCTACCTGCAGCCAGTGTAACCAGCATACTCATCGTGGGACTCGTCACTACATTATCTGCATTAGCACTGACATTATATTATCCATGGTTTTATGTCGACGCAGAAAATGCATTTTTAAATGCATTGAAAGATAACAAAGAATCTACTGGTGCAAACTTTGGAAGAATATTCATGTTTTGTTTAGTTGGCAGTGGGTTTGTACTTGGATTACTCACCAGCTTGATATCGCCAATGTTGGCCAGTATAAATGTTTGTTTAGCTATGGTCCATGATGGTTTTATGCCATTCATGTTTTCTCGTGTTTGCCGACCCTTCAAGGTATTTTTTTAATCGAAAAGTTAATGATATAAAGATATGCACACAAAACCCAGTTGTAATTTTGTTTGATATATGTATATATATGCGTTATCTCAATCAAATTAAATCGCGTTAAATCAAAGGGGCTTTCATCACTCCCCTTTCTTTTATCATTACTTCGAATGCGCTCATGATGACTGAATATTATAAGTTGTGTAGTAATGTGACATAAAATATACACCAGTGCGCAATAAGATAATAAATAACGCCAGATTTTAATCTACAATGCTAATTGTTGTGTACTGATCTATCGAGTAAAATGTAGGAAACACATCAAGTTATTCGGTAGACAATATGTCTGCATGTTAGGTGGCTGAGGGAAATCGCTAAGAAACTCTAAACTTAGGTTCTTTATGAGACTAATGCTCTCGCACGGAGTTGATACCGCCTCCTTCAGTTCTACGTCCTGAAAGGTTACTATTGAGTTATCCTGGCCTTGACCAACCTCCTATGGATGTGTAGTCATTTGTAATGTCTCAGAATGTGAAGTTGAGTATCTCAGGATCGGATCCACCCGAGAGCTTCAGTCACGTTATGATTACAGGTAAGCCTTGTTGGTGAGTGTCAAACAGTTAAAAACTCAGGTATAGGGTTTCCTTTCGACTTGCTTCAACTGCAAAACATCAAAACGTAGTGAATGAGAAATATAGTCACTTAAATGAGTGGCTACGTTACGGCTTGCTCAATAAAATTTGATCAGCACTAAACGGACTATAGAAATATAATGTTGGTCACATATTAACCAATCTAGTTGATTTAACTTATGTAAATGTGATATTTTTAATTTATCACTAATAACATTCTTATTTGTCTTTCTTTTTTGTCTTCTTTATTCAGAGACCACTAATGACGACAATATTCATTATAATTTTCACATGTTTGTTTAGTACAATATTTACTGTACAAAGTTTGGCAAGTTTTTTAAGTTTAGGCACATTAATTGCCTATTGTATTAGTGCCATCAGTGTCTTATTTCTACGTTATCGATCACAGATAAATGATCCTGAAGATATAAATGAATATGATAATGCTAATTGTAAAGGTTTTGAAAACTATCAGGTAAATACATATCTAATGCATTTCACATTCACTAATAAACTATTAAATGGTTAATTCACTTGGTATCGTTTTACTTGAATCTTCCCATTGATGTTTTAGGACTGAAATTGATCAGTCTCTTATTGGCATATGTGCATACTGTGCGTATGCCTCGATATTGGCTTAATTACAAGCATTATAAGCAAAGATGGATAGTGGCTAGCAGTGGAATCCAGGACGCGCGTTTCGTTCTATGTCAGGCTCGTCAGCTGGATGTACCTGCATCTCAGATTTGATGTTCACTCTGGGACTCGGACTCAGTACTGCTCACTTCAAACGCCATCGCCTTATCCACTTAGCTACTGAGTCCTGATAGCCACTTGCTTGTGCAATGGGAAAATTCAAGTAAAACAATACCAAGTGAATTAAACTTCACCCCATTGCACACGCAAGTGGTTATTAGGACTCAGTAGCTAAGTGGATAACTCAATGGCGTTTGAAGCGAACAGTACTGAGTCCGAGTCCCAGAGTGAACATCAACTCTGAGATCCAGGCACATCCAGCTGACGAGTCCCAAACAGGACGAAACGCGCGTCCTGGATTCCACTGCTAGCCACTATTCATCTTTGCTTATTAAATGGTTAATAGAAAATCTACATAGATGGAATGTTTTTTTATAGAAGAAATCAGAGTATAAATTAGATATGTTTTGTCTCAACAAATGATAAAGTATTTTTTTCGAAAGAATTTTTCGGATTACAAAAATATTAAGCTAATTTACTTTTAAGCTTATTCAAAGATGATATCATCTTGATGGATGGACCAAACCATTCAGCTCAGAGAACAAAACTCCATCAAAATCATCCATCTAAGTTACAAATCTTCCACAGCATCTCGATGATACCCTCATTTAGAAAGTTTGTTTTGAAGACAGGGCTTCACTATGAACTGTATATATTATACAAGGACTAGTGATTGTAGCTTATTGTAACTGATCAAATCATTTGTCATAAATATTCTGGCTGATTGATTGCTGATTATTTCACAGCTAGTGGTTTTTGTCCTCTTGTAGGTCAGTGAAAATAAATCGCCAAATATATTATCTGACCCGTAAATTATTTTCTTCCTTACCTCTTGATTAGTACGTAACCTCATATGTTATTTGGTCTCGAATCCATTTTTGTGATTCCATATTTTCTATCCTCCTACAGACATATATTTTCCATATAACTATATATACGAATGTACAGCTTAAGCAAATGATTTCGTCAAAAAGAAAATTTTCTTCGCTGAATTCTCTTTTCCTTATTCAATATGATATATTTTTACTCAGTTACTATACATACTTGTTGAAAACTACTCATGATATGTATGTATGTATAATTTGTGATACATCAATTTTGATTTTTCTCTATGAATGTTTTATTGCTTCACAGAATGCATATTACAGTAAGCGAATTGGTCAACCAGGATTCATTAAAAAGAAAATTGGTTTCCGTTTATCTGATCGTATGTTAAAATTTATCAATTCTGGTGTTCCCGGTAGTATGGTTGTTTTTTTAATATCTATTTATGTAATATTGAGTATTGCATTGGTTGGATGTTTGACCTTTGGAGTATCTGGTAGAATAGCATCATTTATGAAGATCATTGCTACTGTACTTACTATTTTACTACTCATGTTAACTATCGTTTTCATCAGTTTTATTAAACAGTTCAAGTCAAATGATGCTACTTTATATCGAGTAAGTTATCTATTATTAATACTTTTAAATAAAATATTTTCTGTTGAAACAACCTAATCAAAATTCACTTGGTGTTGTTTTACTTGTGTCTTCCCATCGTTATTTAGGACTGTAATTGGTCAGTCTCATGTTGGCTTCATCGAGGCAATCCGCACAGGATGCACATATGGGAAGATACAAGTAAAACAACATCAAGTGAATTTAAACTTCATCCCATTACACAAGCAGGTGGCTATCAGGACTCAGTAGCTAAGTGTATAACTCACTGGCGTTTGAAGCGAACAGCACTGGTTTCGAGTCCTGGAGTGAACATCAATTCTGGGATTCAGGTACACCCAGCTGACTAGTCCGACATAGAACGAAACGCGCGTCCTGGATCCCATTGCTAGCTACTATCTATCTTTGCTTAAAAACCTAATCAAAATATTGAAAGTGATTTTGTACGAGAACTAACATTGACTTGTAAAACAAAACGTTAACTTAGTTCCTTTTCCATTCTGATGCTTATTTATATGAAAACTGAATAGGCAAATCAGTCTGGTGTTGTCGTTTACATTGAACATCAACATGACAACCAGGTATAGTTCTAATGATGCTGATATTTAAAAAAATAATTTAAATGATAAATGAAAGAGTCTACCAACAACCATCTATTCTGGTAATAATTTCTTATTATTGATTTATATTTTCATAATTCCTCTGATGAAAAGTTGATATATGATAACCTGTGATACATGTTAATCCATCATTTTATTACTGTGGTGTGAACATGAAATTGAAGTTGACAGAAAAAAACTGAGTTTTTTGTGAATATTATAGTAATTTTAATAGTTGAGATCATGAGTCGATTGAAGCTAGACTACCATAGAATACTTGGAATCACTGGATGGTCGTTGAGTTCTATTGTAGGACCCCTCAGCAGTGCGCATCCACGATCCTGCCTCATGAGATTAGAACACAGTGCCTATCGGTCTCGAGGAGCCAGTGCTTAACCACTAAACCACTGAGCTGGCCGGCATTCAACGGTGTTAGTGTCTAACTTCAACCAATCCACGAAATTGCGCCACCGTCCACCATTGTCTTCGGTGAGTTACTATCTCACAACAGACCTAGTTGAACTCCGCTGGTCACTGCTTCTCACTAGAACTCCAGGAAATGCCTCTTGATGCAAGTCCCTAGTGAGCATATGATGATTATAATCAGAGAAGGGTTTTTGTGTATATTATAGTAATTTAATAGTTGAATGCATGAGTCAATTGAATCCTTATATGTTATGAATTAATAACAAGATTTTGGTCAAGTACATTTGGTGACTATTATTAAAACCGCTCAGTTGACTTATACATAATAATGCATTAATAAACGCGATTTTTATGGTTATTACATAACGTAGACCAAGTATTCTCATTTAGATTAGGACTGTCTGTAATTAAGATGGGAATTGACAGGATCCTAAATCAACCGCATTAGAAATTTATTCGACTAAATTTATTTTACAAAACTATGAAACATCTAAATATGAAAATGAATAAAACAATTCATATCGCCAAAATTTCATGTTTAACCGAGAATTATAAGTCATCAAAGTAGTTAAGAGTTACGGTATTGTACATATTGTTCTTAAAAATTACCAGGTCTCAATGACATACATAATTATTAACATTACGGTAACATCTACGTTTAAATCTATCTTCGCGTCTAGTTTTACCTAACATCTGGAGCACGGGATCATTAACAAAATACTGGCATCTCTCACCTTCTATATCCTGTGCATTTACAAGTTACAAATGTTCAATTATATATACATCCTTATTCATAACTATGTTCTGAGATCAAATAAAAGTATATACGTGTACTTTATTTGTAAATAAAGTAATATTGTCACTCAACCATGTTGCACAGTGTTTGATTAAGAATCATCTGACACCTCCATCCTCATAGAGGCTGACGAACCGAATAACCCAATATTTATTATTCATATATCAGAAATAATCATTATTCGAGTGGTATTTTCGATTTTTCTTCCAGGTTCCGTTGGTTCCACTGCTTCCTTGTTTTACATTAACGATAAATCTACTCCTTCTTTCTCGAATTTCATGGTTTAGTTGGGTTCGTTATGGTATTTGGATGTTACTGGGTAAGTTGCTTCTCTTTCTTGGATTTATAAGAACAATGTACTAATGAGGACTTTAATACACTAGATTTTATCATAGGGATTAAAATGCAGGTTGATTTTGATTATTATTAATATCGTGAACTGACCCAAGTTAAATGTTTATTGGTAGTCGGTAAGTTCTGGATGCTGTTTCATCCTGGTGTATGACTCCTCACCAGAGACCCTTTAAGAGGGAATCAAATGCAGGACCTTTGGTCACACGAGAACACTTAAACTCTGGATTATTTAGCAGGAATTCGGTAGTGTGTATATTTACCTTCAATCAACTCATTACAGTGTTTAATGGGAAACTGTCTGACACCCGGTGCATTAGAATTGTACCAACCACGGTTTTTCATTAAAATTCCGGGATTACCTCTCGAAATTAGTCACCAATGAGCACATTGTGGATGAACAGTGATGAGGAGCTTCATATTAGAAAGAAATGGCTTTCCAATGCTTCTTATATGCTAATGAATGTCTAACTTAAATTAGTTCAGGATATCACTGACAATCACTAATCGCCACAAACCTCAGTGCTGATAACTTCGACTGTGAATTTACTACAACTAGTCTCTAGTGGATTTTTATGCAAAAAGAGCAACAAATAATATTTACAAAACCAATCTTCTATACGTAAACCATTCATTTCATAGACTAAAGGAATATGATTTATTTTAAGTAAATTCATAAGCGCTTTTGCTTTAAACTTCTCAGCAACTGTTTGTGTGAAAATACTCTTGCACAGTAGTAGTTTAAACAATCACATCGATAAAAGTTATCATAAAATTACAAAGATTCCCTCTGCCATTAACTATTCTATTAGAAGGTTTACCAGATCATATCGAATGACATCTACAAATATAATTTTCGATCCACTGTTTATTTTATTCATATAGGTTTTTCACAAAATAAGCTTAATTTTTACTTCTGACATTATTTTACTCTACACATATAGCACATATGCTATTTACTAGGTTGATAATCATGAAAAATATAGATCAGCTGAATATACTAATAAATAACGTAATATTCTGATTTATCGATCTATAGTTACCATGTTTGTCGCAAAACTTGAAGCTTTCTAAGTTTGATCTCGTAGGGTGTTTAAAGCTATCATCAAACAGTTGTCTAGTGGATATCAGTTCATAATGAATATTACTTTCAAAGAAGTGAAACAAATAATTTATTACTTATATTCCACAGACTATGTTTTCTATTGTTTTGTTTGTAAATAGTCCAAAGTATAGAAAAGATAAAGTTATCACTAATGTATAATCATTATCATTTCACTTTAAGTATTGTTTCCAAATAAATTAAAGATATGTTGGCCACTTCATAATAGTAAAAATATATATTTGTGATATCACAACGAATTAAAAATTGAATTTATGGAGTCTTCAAACATAAGTCAGTTCTTTAAAGAATAGGCAAGTCTTTTTTAAATTCACAGAAGTTGAATTAGTATGACGAACAAATCATATAGAATGTTTACTACATACTGGTAGGTTTGATCATGTTAATGTTATAACATTCAGATCATGCGTGATTCTGTTTTTGGTGCACACATGTGTATGTGAATGGGTGGATAAAATTTGATATTCATAATGTGAACTAATCACTTAGTTTGTATGTATGTTTGTGGTATGGCAGTGAATAAACTGTATATCATTACTTGACAAATTTGTCATACTAATTAGATGGTTACTTTACTTATTTACACCTGTCACCCCCAATGGAGCATTGGCGGTCGACCAGCATTATCCAACCTAATTAATTGGTCACTGGGTGGTGATCAATGTAATGTATGTCAGATATTTATAAATGCAGATGGAATCCTATCGACCAAGTCTCAATGTTGCCACTAACAAAGACCTGACAAACATGACATTGATCACCATCCAGTGATCAATCAATTGTAAATACATCTCAGTCCAAAAGGAGGTCAGTTGCGGCCTCGATATCTCAGTGGTAATGTCTTTGACTGTGAGGCTGGGTGACACGGGATTGAATCTGTCAGGAAGCATCAGTTCTCTCAAGATAACAGGTACACCTTGCTAACGATTGCCAATTAGCACGAAACCTGTTGACCACCTCCGAGCTACTCTGTCCTGGGCCTTCCTTTCTAGTTCTATCCAGTTGTTGTTCATTCTTCTCATGTCTGTCTCCATTTCTCGGCGTAATATGCTCTTTGATTTTCCTCTTCTCCTTTGGCTCTGAGGATTCCATGTGAGGGCTTGTAGATATGCTGCTTTTTCTTTGCCGATCCGCGCCGTCACATCTGCATCAGATCCACTGTGCTCATCAGTGATGCTGCCCAGATATGTAAAGGTTTGTACATCCTCCGAAGCTCCTCCGTCAAGTATGATTTGATTGATGCATGCTGTGTTGTATCGGAGTCGCTTGCTTTTCCCTTTGTGTATGTTGAGACCTACTGCTGCCGAGGGTGGTGCTACAGTGGTCGTCTTCTCCTGCATTTGTTGTTGCGTGTGCGATAGAAGAGCCAGATCATCTGTGAAGTCCAGCTGCAACCTTGCTCTCCACTATATCCCATGCTTCCCTCCAGATGTTGACGTCTTGACAATTTAGTTGATCACCATTAGAAAGAGAAAGGGTGAGAGCAAGCAACCTTGCCTGACACCTGTCTTTACTTCGAACGAGTCTATGAGCTGTCCTCCATGCGCGATTTTGCAGTTTAATCCATCATAGGAATTCCGTATGATGTTGACTGTCTTCTCAGGCACGTCGTGGTGTCCTGTCGACTCTATCAAATGCCTTTTCGTAGTCAATGAAGTTGATGTAGAGTGATGAATTCCATTCAATTGATTGTTCCACAATGATCCGTTATGTTATGATTTGGTCTGTACACGATCTATCCTTACAGAACCCAGTCTGGCATCTACGGATTCCTTTATTCTGTTTAACAACACCTTGTTAAAGACTTTTCCTCGTATTGAGAGAAGAGTGATGCCTCCGTAGTTCTCACACTTGCTGAGATAGCCTTTCTTTAGTTTTTTGATCAGAAGTCCTTCTAACCAGTCTGTTTGTACTTGTTCTTCATCCCAAATCTTATTGAAGAGAATGTGGAGTATCTTTGCATTTACTGCTATATCTGCTTTCAGTATCTCTGCTGGAATGTTGTCTGGTACCCCTGCTTTGCCGCTCGTGATTTATATGATGGCCGTGATGATATCTTCAATTGTCGGTGGGCCAACATTGATTGGGATGTCCGTAGGTGCTGCTTCGATTTTGGGTGGGTTCAGTGGGGCTTGTTGATTCAAAAGTTGCTTGAAGTTTTCTACCCACCTGTTTCGCTGTTCTTCAATGTAGTGATTACTTTGCCTTCCTTGCTTTTCACTAGTCGTTCTGTTTTACGATAATTTCCAGAGAGCTTCTCTGTTACGTCATACAATTGTCTCATGTTTCCTTCTCTTCCAGCCTTTCCTGCAGTCATTGCTAGATCTTCCACATATTTACGTTTGTCAGTTCTGATGCTCATCTTCATTTTCTTGTTTACCTCTGTGTATTCAGCTTGTGCCTCGGCTTTCTCTGCTTATGTTCGGCTGAAATTGATTTCTACATTCTTGTTCCTTCTTTATTGAATCTCATCCAGTGTACCAACAGTGGTCCATTCTTTGTGATGGTGCTTCTTGTGGCTCAGAACCTCATGACATGTTGGAGTTATTACCTACTTGATCCCTTTCCAGTTGCTCCTTATAGTAGTTCCCTCTCCATTGAGTAGATCATGAAAGACCCGGAATATATTGCTGAGGGCTATCTTGAATTCGTTGGGTCTGTCAGTATCTCGAAGAAAGGCCATATTAAAATTTTGTGATATTGTCCGCCCCATTGTCCAGTGCTTCTTGAGTTTCAATTTCATCTTGGCGACCAGCAAGTGATGATCTGAGACTATATCCGTTCCTCCCTAGTTCCTCATACCCTCCATCGTCCTCCTGAACATTTTATTGATGCAGATATGGTCGATTTGGTTGTGTGTAGTGTGATCCGGTGAAGTCCATGTGATTTTGTGAATGCGCTTATGTGAGAATATAGTGCCGCCTATGACCAGTTTATTGAAGGCACATAGGTTTGCAAATCTCTCACCATTTTCGTTCCTTTCTCCCAGTCAGTTCATGTCGCCCTATGATGTCTTCATAGTCGGTGTTGTCCATTCCAACCTTGTCATTGAAATCTCCCATCAGAATGGTCAGGTCCTTTGTTGGGCACATCTCGATGATTGACTGCAGCCTATCGTTGAATTGATCTTTAGCGTCTTCATTGTAGTCGTTGGTAGGCGCATAGCATTGGATGACGTTCATTGCAATGCCCTCTTTCTGTGTTTTGAAGGAGGCTTTGAAGATCCTTAGTTCATGAGATTCCCATCCTATAAACGCTTCTTGTGCTTGTTTTGATGGCATCAATGCAACTCCTTGTGTATGTGGGGCATTTCCTTCTTCATGACTTGAGTACAACAGAAGCCCTCCTGAAGCTAGTTGTTGTTATCCAACCTGCGTCCAATGAGTTTCACTGATTCCAAGCTTCTCCAGGTTGTATCTCTTCATGACTCTCTCTGTCTCACACATTGTACGAGAATTCCATGTACCTAAATTAATGGTTGCTCTGGTTGTAAGAAGGGGCATCAGCCTCATGACTTCCGCAGAAACTCGGCTTTCACCATAAGGCGTTATAACTCTTCTGAATGATGACATTCTAACTCTCAGGTTATAGTTAAAATTGTTTGAATTATGTCTCCTGCTTAGCATCTTTTTAGCGAGTTGATGTTTTACGGGATGGGGTCGTTAACTCTATGCCCTACTCTCCTCCTTCATTCGAGTTCCAGACTGGCATTAGCCCCAGAGGAGCTCCAGGCTGCCTTCTTTTATAATGAAAATAATAAGATTTAGTGATATATGAAGTAATTGAGTTGCTCATTTTACCCATAATTACTAAGACATTTTTTAATCATTCGAAAATTCGTAATATCTATAAGATAGTTGTTGAGTTTAGAATATACGGCTACTGTAATCTTGAAATTCCCACAAGATTATTAGGACTTCTGATTCAATAGCCAGAGTCAATGTCTTAAATTTTACTGCTAACCATGTAGTGGACATGTACGCCAGTGGGGACAATCGAATGTATTTAACACAAAATTACAGGACTTGTTAATAAAATCTAACAATCAGATAGTAAATACGTAATTTGGAAAATGTCCATCAGTTGTCTCATAATGACTCAGACTTCATTGTTCTTACATTTCCATACGAATTGCATTCTATTTCCATTCTTTACTGTTCGATCCTCTTGTTTCTCTGCTGCCAGACCTTTTCACGACTAACATCATATACTACTTATGTCAATATAAGTAGCACACACCACAACCATATTGCCAAATATACTAAGGACTTGCTATTTCATTTAGACTTTTCTTGATATAAGTTAAGTTTTCATTGTTTAATGATATCTGCATGCGTCAGCCAGAATACAACCAACTAATATATATTAGTTCAACCGAAGTGTATATTGTTTATTCTTCGTGATCAAATTTATTAACATTATAAATTCTTGAATTAATTAATTGTGCATTCCTCCTAAAACGTAATTTAACTAGATAATAATAGTAATACTAATAATAATAATAATGATAATTACGTGAATTTTATATTCTTAAAGCTTAACAGTTAGTACATAACGTTTTTAATTAATAATACCCCCCCTCGACGTACAAATTATTAATTATCTAATTTTAATAAAATTGTATCCATCTAATATCACTTTACAGTATGACATTTCATCAGTCAAATTATTCAATTGACGTAAACCATCTAAAAATTATTCATGCAAAAATCTAGTACACCACCATCACCACCACCACCAACAACAAAAAAGGTTAACAAATAGAAAAAAAAATTAAAAAAAGAGTAATTCTTTAATAAAATACAATGTTACTTTATATGTCATTTGCTGTACATTAATCTGCCGATTATTCTTTTTTTGTTTTATTTTTGCTATATCAAATTGTTTCCATCTAGGTTTATTAATATATTTCTTATATGGAATTAAAAATACTTATCGAATATCAGAAGAAAATAAAAGTGTAATTTCATCAAATTTTCTTAGTGATATAGAATATGAAAAGAAATCATCAAAAAGTAATTCATCAACAGATGAATCAATAGAATTTGTTGATCCAATCAGATTTTGATCAAATGATTTTCACTATTAATTGACATGAATTAAAAATTCGAGAGAAAAAAAAATTTTTTTTTTATTTTCTAACATCATATGATTGGTTAAATGAGAAACAGCAACAACAACAAACAAAAAACAAAAAACAAATTAGAGACAGAGAGAGAACTCATGTTACATTACATAGATACATATAGTTCTTTCAATCATTTAAGAAGAGAATAAGAATAAAGATTATAACAGAATAATATGAATTCATTTTATTTATTTATTTCAATAGAATTCTGATATCATATATGTAACATTTTGTATTAAAAAAAACAAGAGACAATATTATTTATTATAAAGATTTTTGGTTAAATTGTAACTTTCTTATTTAAACAAATCCGTATCAAGTAATTTCTTTATAATCTAATGTTGAATATTTGTGGAAATAACGTTTGAATGATAGCGAGGACAGAGTTTAAAAAAAAACGTTTTGATTGATAAGTGGATATATATATGATTGAAAAGTACTAATATTAGAAACTACTTCTGTATCAGTAGGCTTCAACATACATAAAGGAAAAAGCAAGATTCTAAATTACAACATAGAGAGAATACCAAGCAAACCAATCACCTTTGATTGAGAAACTCTGGAAGATTTGGAATGATTCACCTACCTGGGAAACATCATCAATGAACAATGAGGATCAGATGCAGACTTAAAGGCGAAGATTGGCAACGCAAGTGCCATATCCCTACAATTGAAGAATATATGGAACTCAGAATAACTGTCAACCAATATCAAAGTCAAAATCTTTAATACCAACGTCAAGACAGTCTTAATGTGTGCAGTTGAAACTTCCAGAAATACTATAACCATCATCAAGAAGGCACAAGTATCTATAATTAGTTATCTACTCAATATACTCAGCGTACATTGGTCGGATACCATCAGCAACAGCCTTTTGTGGGAGAGGACAAACCAGGTTCCATCCGAGGAGGAAATTAGGAAAAGACGATGGAGATGGATAGGACATACATTACGCAAATCATCAAACTACATTACGAAGCAGGCCCTAACTTGGAATCCGGAATGGAAGCAGAGAATAGGAAGGCTGAAGAATACATTATGTCGGGAAATAGAAGCATATATGAAAAGGATGAATAACAGCTGGAAGGAGCTGGAAAGGGTTGCCTAGGACAGGGTTGGATGGAGAGTGCTGTTAGGCGGTCTATGCTACTCCATGAGGAGTAACAGGCATAGGTAAGTAATATTGGAAACTGAAGTTGTTTGTAGTAGATTTCAAATCCTTGTTTCTTATTTTGTTATCATCAATAAAAGTTAATATATTCATAGTTTTGAAGAATTGTTGCTGTCAATTAAAGTGCTAAATGAGGTTGACAACTGTTGCAATGTTTAGTTTTTCCAATGAATTCAATAAACTTACATTAAGCAGACAACCAACCAGTTAGTAATCATTCATAATCATCAATTTAACAGCGTTATACAAACAGATATTGTATAGTGAAAGTTTTGAAAAAATAGAACTAGTTTACATAATGAATACGGAAATCTTAAGGATTGTAATATATGCCAGGTAGACAATGAAGTAAACAATAAGTCAGGCTTTTTAACCGAAATACACTTAACAAACTATAATTATTTCAGAAGACTGTACTTCAAAATCATTTTATTCACAGGAGTCTCACTGAGAAGTTCACTAACAATTTCAAAAACACATGCATCCAACTCTCTGTTTACAGTAATACTTCTCATTTGTTTGAAAAGATATATGAAACGAAGACAGACAGTTTTGTTTTCACCTATCCTTAAGAATCTCTTACTTATCTCTCTTGGCTAAAAACGAAATATAATATTCTTCAAGTAATGTTAAAAGTATTAGTTTTCATCGTACTTCTTAAATTATGCAAAACATGTAAGATCAGATACTTCATAATCAAGTTCGTGATCTAATCATCATTATTTCTGAAGGCTATGAATAGTGCTGAGGTTCGAAAATGTATAGTTCAGTATAGTGTATATAATCATCCAATAAATGTTTATATTTTGGAACATAAGCTTTTACGAATTGTAATTATTTAATCATGCTGTTTAGTTGATGTTTTCAAATCAAATTGGCTAGAATTAGTAGGTAAATAGTCACTTTATCACATTAATTTGTTTAATCTGGTTGGCGGTTTTTACAAGATTTTTTCTACGGGATGGAGTTGCCGACCAGATGCTCAAACCTCCTCCTTTACCCAGGCTTGGGACCAACAGTAACTTTGGAAGAGCTACAGGCGGAGTTACTCTATCAAATAACAAATGAAACGAAAAGAAAGTTGTATAGGGTGTTGGCATTACAATATCATAGGTTTAATTCTACAAAGTATGTGAGTCAGTGACTTGAGATGGTAAGAAACATAGATCAAAATATATGTCAGTTATAATCCAGTTGTATTTTGTCGAGTATACAATAACATGCACCAATATCCATTTTCGTTGCATTGTTAAATAAACAGTTTCGTTACTATTTTGTTTAAGATGGTGCATTATCTCGTTTGATACTGTAAAAGATATTATTTAAAGATATAAAAATAATTATTTCCTACACTTTTAGCTATTCCTAGTAGATACCCTTAGATATTTCTAAAAAAGAAACGATCTTATAGATTTTTCCACTAAGGTGTAACTTTATTGGCACTTATTATCAGTCAATCTTACAAACATGTATTGTGATTATGCAGCTCCTTCAGTTGCTAATTATAAGTCACATTTGAATAGTTTAAACTCTATGGACGATTTGAAGTTAAATCTCATGAGATAACCATTTAGGTATCCTTCCCCTTACAGTAATGAAAATTGATTGAATAAATCTCCTAAACTAGTTACTCCAAATTTAATGTTTTACTTTTATAAGTTACTGGTTTCTTTATGGAATAAATCATAATTATTATGATAAACATATAGGTTAATTTCTATTTGCAGGTGAAATGAATTTATATTATCAGATGATATGATAGATATAAGAGTTTTAGAGATGACAAGTAATTGTCATCCTCACTGTGAGTTGCCTATTATAACTTGACATTTTATAAGTAGAGACAAAACTGGTTGCTAATTTGTTTTATCATTGAAATGACGAAATACTAGATAATCAATTAATTAAAGCACTAGTTCGTTGTTTATACTGAAATATGTGAGAATTTTCAATATAGTTATACAATGATATAAAGCTTTAAATTACTTTTTGGTTCTTACCAGTCACCAAAAACGTCAAGTTTAGGCAAATTGACAATGATAATAGTCGATTGAAGTGTATGCAGAAAAGATTTTCAAAATAAAGATAGAATTGCATACCAGAAACTATTTTTAAAAATCAGTAAATCCAAATAATCTAAAAGTCAGTATTAATGCAAATTGATATTTAATGACACTTGAAGCCCTGTGAAGAGAAAATGATGGATTAGAAGAGAAACTCCAGAAAATACTTATTTATAGATTGTTAAACACATGTACTACTGAAATGGTTGATAGTAAAGCTGTAGATAATATTTAAATCAAATAAAATCTGAATACTGAAATGATTATTTACTTAAATGGTCAAATAAAGATCAGCTAACTGATTGTTACGCATATCTTTTTTTAAAACAACATATATAAGCGAGCAATATTGTTTTCGATTAGATCCTCATCAGGTTTTACTCTAATATACAGTAATATTTATAGGCATATACAAAATTATTCAACCAATCAAGGTAGTTTATAAGTCAATGATAACAATGAAAACGATTACATAATAAGGGAAACGTGAAAAGTACAAATTGATGGTGTGACAACAGGTTCATTAGTTTTGATAAAAAATAATCAAGGTTCAAACCAATGTTACATAATCGGAAATAGGTCAATGATTAGAAAAATATAGAAACTGAGATAACAATTATAAAATTATAAGATGACGTAATAGGAAATGCATATAAATATTACTGTATATTAGAGTAAAGCCTGATGAGGATCTAATCGAAAACAATATTGTTCGCTTATATTTGTTGTTCTAAATTTACAATATGGGAGTATTTCAACTTTTGAAGTCACGTGGGGATCCGATTGCATTTAAGGTGCTCAATGAATTCCTAAATTTTAATGCTCGTCTCACTGAAGCGAAAACATCGTTGGAATTTATTAATGATAGATGACGTAATAAGAAATGTTCAGATAATTGGACCATGAAACGTATAGTTGCGAGAAAATAAAGTGGTAGGAGGGGGTGAAGAAGAATAATAAACGAAGAGAAAGTTAGAAAAAAGAATAAATAAATTCATTTATTACTTGAGGCCAGGGGAGAGGTAAGGGCGTTACAAATTTCTTCTGAACACAAAGACTTGGCTTGTTGGCTCGGATTCCTATAGCTTCTACTATGTGTAAGAGACGAGATCGAACACCATAAGGAAAACTAGTGGGAATACGATAAATAACTTTGAACGACTTGTTTCTGTCCACTATATGACCGCTATCGATCAAGTGTGATAGAACCGAGCTGCGTATTGTTTTGACGTAACCTTTTCTTAACCACGAAGGGAGGTGTTCACTAACTCGTTGGTTCAGTTGCCTGGTAGTGCGCCCAATATAGCTTTCTCCACAGGAGCAGCTGAATTCGTAGATACACATAGAAGTGGCATAACCAGGTAACTTATCCTTCAATTGCGGAATCACCATCGATCGGGTCGAATACGATAGGCAGAGGTTGGCAGCATTAAACGTTCTCTTTACTGCTCTAGTCAATCTATCCCGTAATACATCGCTAGCTATATCACCATTGAATTGCAGCTTCAAGAAAAGCGGTTTCTTATTAGCCGTCAGAGTCACTATTTTCTTGTTTTGGACCCGCAAGTGTTTCTTCAGGAAACCTTGTGGATATCCCAATTCAATTAAAATCTTGTGAATGTGTTGTAATTCCCTATCAATTGTGTCGACTGAGCATATCTTAAGAGCTCTATTTGCAAGACATTTGACTGAGTTTCTCTTATAGTGAAGAGGCACAAAGCTTAAAAAATGTGTGTATTGGCTTGGAGAAGAGCTTTTTCTATACACACCTCTGCTGATAGAACCATTTTCTTTTCTACTTAACAAAACGTCCAGGAAATTTAGTATGTTATCTAATTCCTCTTCATATGTAAATTTAATAGCAGGATGTTTGTTATTAAATAGTTCCAGTAGTTGTTCTTTTCTAATGTTCTGATCAGCGATGATGAAAGTGTCATCAGCGTAACGACAGTAGAAATCCAGTTTATTGATAATCTCTTTGAGAAGTTCGTTTTCTAGTTTCGCCAGAAAAAAATCCGCATCTACATCTAGTTGCTTTATTTTATTACTATAGTCACAAAACCTAGGGCCGAGTGACAATGCCTCTACTTGCAATGTGTCTAACGTAACACTAGAGAAATTATGAACGTACCGCTCAGGGTCCATAGGAAATTTTCTCTCAGGTTTATGAGGTTCCAGTGACTGAATTAGTTTTGTCCCCAGTTTTTCTGATCTACTTTTTGCCACCATGTTGTAATAATCCATAAATTGTGATTTTATTTGCAGTGGTAGGTTATCGAGCATATATTCTCTTTGTGAAAGATTTCTTTCTAGATTGTTTATGTGTAATTTTAATGAATCCGTTTGGTTAAGTGAATGCCGTTTAAGGGTTCTGGCATTCGGATAAACTTTGTTCCGGAGTAAACATTTCCAATATATTTTAGGATATCTATCATTCCGTATACAATCATTAATAAATTCCAACGATGTTTTCGCTTCAGTGAGACGAGCATTAAAATTTAGGAATTCATTGAGCACCTTAAATGCAATCGGATCCCCACGTGACTTCAAAAGTTGAAATACTCCCATATTGTAAATTTAGAACAACAAATATAAGCGAACAATATTGTTTTCGATTAGATCCTCATCAGGCTTTACTCTAATATACAGTAATATTTATATGCATTTCCTATTACGTCATCTTATAATTTTATAATTGTTATCTCAGTTTCTATATTTTTCTAATCATTGACCTATTTCCGATTATGTAACATTGGTTTGAACCTTGATTATTTTTTATCAAAACTAATGAACCTGTTGTCACACCATCAATTTGTACTTTTCACGTTTCCCTTATTATGTAATCGTTTTCATTGTTATCATTGACTTATAAACTACCTTGATTGGTTGAATAATTTTGTATATGCCTATAAATATTACTGTATATTAGAGTAAAACCTGATGAGGATCTAATCGAAAACAATATTGCTCGTTTATATATGTTGTTCTAAATTTACAATATGGGAATATTTCAAATATTTTCTTTTACC